TGAAGTCGTGAGTGGTAGAAGGTATGACCTTGGAAATATGTGTTTAAATTAGTGCAGCGCTCGGAGAGGAGGCAGTTCAGTTGTTGCAAGCATTGCAATAGCATGGTAAATATAGTGAAGAAAAGTCGGTGCTTAGTGTGTCAAACGGAGAAACGGTTGAAGTACTCTAAGGGGTGGCGCTGGGCGTGTGGGTGGTGCTGTTGCAGCATATTTCTGGTTTATTGTGGGACGTGTATGCAACATCGTCCCCATAAGATAGGCTGGATTTACGATACGAATGAGAAGGACGAGAAGTGTGTGTGGTCTTTGTTAGACTCCCCATAAGATTTGGAAAACGTAGGAGTACGAGGAGGACTAGCCAGTGGGGTGATGTCAGGAGGGAATGGATTTCTAATTAAATGGAGTGAACTGCAAGATGGATATAGAGTGCGCTATCCATACGGATTGAGTTATGAAGGAAGTGTGAGAAATGCATATGTAGAATGGAGCGTGTGTCAAGAAAGCTATGCGAGGGGTGTAGAATGGAGCGAAGAACGTTGTCAGCAGTATTACTACATTGGTACGAGCATGATGGGCTCCATAGTATGTGAAAGGTGAATCATAGGAGCAAAGTATGCCCTATTTAGTATCTACGATGATGGATATGTTAATAAGATGCACATACATAGTAAGCACCTAGCAAAGTGCTTGTATTGTGAAAGAAGAATAGCATCGAGCAGTATACGTCAGTGTGACAACAGTCCGTTGGGAGCGAAGCAGCTATATAGTTGCCGAAGAAGGAAGGTGTCGAAGTCATAGGGAAAAACAGGCGGTGTGATAAGGTAAGTGAAGATACTGAGTGTAGGCATGCAAATACAAGACAGGTAGTTTGAAAAATTTCAAAAATCAGTGAAAAAATAAAAAATATAGTGATAAAAGTAAATTAAAGCAATTGGGGGTGACAACCCCTAGAAAGGGGTGAAAAAAAATTGTAAAAAAAATCAAAGCACAGTTTGGTAAAAGCTTGAAATTGATCGGTAATCAAACAACGGAGATATTAAAGATTTTTGTAAAGGGGTAGCAGCCCCCGATAGTAGAAGGAAGTATACGGATATAGTACTGGTATCGTGAAGAGATATAAAAACATAATTAGAGAAGAGAAGAGAAGCACAGTTTGAATCAGTTTTGACAATTTTTTTTTTTAAATAATAACAAAAAAAGTATGGGAATGAAGACAGCTAGTACAAGGAACCTATTTGTTCTTATGAAGTTTTTGTGTAGGGAGGGTAGTAACGAAGATATAGGGGGTGAAGTACCCCTAACATGAAAGATAAAATTTCATAACAGTATGTAGTGAAATGGATTACAGGGATTATAAAGAGACATAAATGCTAATAACAAAACGTTGTAGTATCACCAGGAAAACAGATATAAGGGTGAATTACCCCTAACCTAGATGGTATAATTTCATAAAAGTATGTAGTGAAATGGAATGGAGTGGTAATATAGAGATGGAAATGCTAATAACAAATTCTTGTAATATCACCAGGGAAAAAGATATAGGGGTATTATACCCCTAACATTAACTAAGCCATTTCTGTAAAATACTTATAGAAATCGAGGGTATCAGTAATTGGAAGACATAAACAATAATACAACAAAAGCATAAAGTCATTAGAGACAATGATGTGGGTGTAAATGACGCGTTAAAGAAAATTTTAAAATTTTTAAAATAAGTTTATGAACATGAAATTAATGTAATAATAATAAGAATGCATAGATGTTGTAAACTCTTTTATTGGGTTTGGGTTTATGGTCTTACGGCTAACGAATAGATAGTTAATGGTTCTAGTGTTTTTATTTTTTATTTATATGTTTCACAGAAACCTTAAAGCCTACAACCTTACAAATAAAATCTTAGACATAATTCCTTAAAACTAAAATGCATAACGATCCATCCATGATTAAGGACTGGTATACCCTGAATCTGTGGATGGATCATCGAGATCCCATACGAGATTGTCAATCCGAACTGCTTCTGGAATGTCAACCTCGAGCATAAACGATTATGGGTAATAAATTTTGACTGTTAATTAAAAGGCAGATGGTAGATATCGCGAAGGTAGAAAGTCGTGAAAGGTGGGTAGGAGGGACATGTATTTATATCAGTGTCAATGGTGCACACCGTCACTGCAGTCTAAACGCTCCATATTGGACGCATCAGTAAAATAGTACATTATAAAATTGTTTTCTGTGTTAGGTTGCCAAAATGTGCTCAAGAGAGTGTCTGTGTGCGCCTGGAAAGCAGTGCAAGTACTGCACATTCTCCGATAGTCAGCGCCCAATTCTAGAAAAACTGTTGAAGCCCCAAGTTGTACGTATACTACAAAATGTTCAGGTTGTGCCACCACTTGAAACCGTTCGCGCTTCGATGCCTAGTACTTCGGCGAATGATGTATCCGTGGAAATTGTTAGCATGGGCTCGCAAACCATGCTTAACAATTTTATCGCCGACGGACAAAATGTGTCGAACGATGATGGCGACATCAACATTGAGGCATTGTTAGCATCCCTCAATCCGAACCTGGACAGTGCAACAATGATGGATGCGTACAATGCTTGGCCATCATTGGAACTGAGTTTGTTGGGAGCGGAGTCGAGGCCGTCCACGTCCAGAGCCACTGCGACACCCCAAGAGTCGTTGATGTCTGCCGCGGTCGCGAGTGAACGGTATGGTGCGGACGAGGAACTATATCGCCACACGTGGATCGAAGATTTGCCGTTCACGCAACTTGAACGGGCCGCGTGTGCGCGCGACGTCGAGTTGAGAGAACCGTTGGCACAACTTCAACAGATCGCGATGGAACTCAATCGGGATACGTGGATTGAAGATTTGCCGTTCACGCAACTTGAACGGGCCGCGTGTGCGCGCGACGTCGAGTTGAGAGAACCGTTGGCACAACTTCAACAGATCGCGATGGAACTAAATCAGGGTACGTGGATCGAAGAATTGCCGCTCACGCAACTCGAACGGGCTGCGAATGAGGAGGGGGCTAGACAGTGAAGGGACAGTTAAGTTAAGAGGGATGAACTGGTTTCGCAATGGGCATCAACTACAGAATGTGCATATTGAGGCGCTGGATCTGCTGATGTTAAGGTACTACATACCGGTAGACATGTAGAGGTGTGACAAAAAAAACATGCAAAGGGTTCAAAACAACGTACAGCAGCTAAAATATTTTTTTGTTTCAGATGCGACATAAGCAGATCCAGAAGATGGTGTGGTGGCTGCCGCCTCCCCGTGGCCACACTGGATAACGCTAAGCGCAGCCGAATATATATATATATATATATATATATATAATGATTTTGTTGCAGGAACAGAGTAAATACGTACACGCTTCACGATGTTCCAATGTCTAAAGTGCGAAAGGACCTTCACGGCGAGAAAAAATTTGTTGAAGCACGGTAGAGAGCGGTGCAGCCAAGATGGTGAGCCAGCATCGAAGCGCATCTGTCTTCGAGATGGAACAGGTATTGAACAATTAGAAAATAAAATCGAATAAAATCACTAACAGAATTATCTGTTTCAGCATCCTTTAACCAGGAAGGTGGTACCTCCAGCATTCCCCAATCCCCAAGTCTCGAGGACAGTAATGCATCCTCTTCGCGCCGCACTGCAGACAAGTTGCAATGTTTTCGCTGTCAGCACACCTTCTCAGCACGCCATAATTTACTGCGACATCTTAGAGAGGTCTGCATAAGCGAGAAAAGACCTTCCAAGCAACAACGTATGAAGGGTGAGATTACTAACAATGAGCCAACTATTGCAGATTTCATCACCCAGACAGCCGCAGGTGTCAACATTAGACGAGTGAACCCTGCAACACCCCCCGTCGCAGTGCCTGGAACCAGTCGAATGAGTCCTACACCATCCGACGTCGTAGTGCCGGCCGCAAGTCGAGAGAGTTCAACCACCGGCAACGATTCACAAGCGAGTGCGGGTAGCAGGACAATTCGCTGTGAGAGTTGCAGCTGTGAGGTATCGAGGAATGCACATGCGGCACATCTGAAAAGCATTAAACATAAGGCACATCTATGGAGACCTTTACAAAATAATGTGTCAGTATGTCGAAGTGCATTCCGAGGTAGAATAGTTAGTTATCAAATAACCGCTAGCATAGAGACTTTGAACGTTACTGAATATATGAATAATGTGGCACAGGACTCCATAAACGTAATTGAAAATGAGTTGCATAAGCATACAACACTCAAAATAAATATGGAACTTTTGG